TGTGTTTTTGATTGTGCTGTTGGTTGTGTTTGTGGTTGTGGTTGTGCTTGTGCATGTGTTTGCGTTTGTGTTTGTGTGTTTGTGTTTGTGGTTGTGCGTGTGCTTGTGCTTGTGATTGTGCTTGTGTTAGCGTTTGTGATTGCGATTGTGTGTGTGTTTGTGTCTGTGTGGTTGTGTTTGTGTTTGTGCTTGTGTTTGTGTGTGGTTGAAATTGTGTTTGTACTTGTGTTTGTGGTTGTGTTTGTGTTTGTGCTTGTGCTTCTGCTTGTGTATGTGTTTGTGTTTGTGTTTGTGTTTGTGTTTGTATGTGTGTTTGTGTTTGTGTTTGTGTGTGTTTGTGTGTTGTATTTGTGTTTGTGTTTGTGTTTGTGGTTGTGTTTGTGTTTGTGTGTGTTTGTGTCTGTGTGTGGTTGTGTTTGTGTGTGCTTGTTTGTGTGTTTGTGTGTGTGTTTGTGTGTTTGTGTTTCTGTGTGCTTGTGTGTGTTTGTGTTTGTGTGTGCATGTGTGTGTGTTTGCGTTTATGTTTGTGTTTATGCTTGCGTGTGTGCTTGTGTTTCTGTTTGTGTTTGCGTGTGTGCTTGTGTTTGTGTGTGTTGTGTGTGTATGTGTGTGTTCGTGTTCGTGTTTGTCTTTGTGCTTTTTTTGGGTGTGTGTGTCGGGGGGCGTTGTTCCCCCGCCACACCCCCCTCAATTCCTGAGAATGCAGCTGCGACCCCGAGGCCACGAATCCTTGACAATCGCTAGAGGTGCGCGTTCCAGAGGCCGCGAACCTTCGTGAACCACGATGGGAGGAGGAGGAGGAGGAGGAGGAGGAGGAGGAGGATGGAGGAAGAGGAGGAGGAGGAGGAGGAGGAGGGAGGAGACAGGTGCAGCAGGGAGGAGGAGACGACCAGCGGGGAGGCGCCCGAGAGCCGAGCGCCCCCCGCGCGCCTCCGAGGCCACCACGCCTCAGTGCTGACCACAGGCGCGCGCAGCCAGCCAGCCAGCAAAGAGCCCAAGTCGAGTGCCGACCATCACAGGAAGGCACCAACTATACACCAACACCGATCCTGGCCCAGATCAACCTGGGCCCAGGATCCTCCTGCCATGGGCAGAATGCATATACACCGATCCTGGGCCTAGGATCGGCCCGGGCTGGATCGGTGTATGTGTATAGTTGGTGCCCTCCGACATCAAGTTTTAGACAACAGGCCAATCAGCCGGGTTGACAGCCAGCCAGCCGACAAGCAAGCCAACCGACCTGCCGACCCAGCGTGACCACGCACGCAATCTGAGGGGGGCTGGCGGGCGAAGCCCTGCAGGCAACACCAAAATCTTTGAATCCCACAAGCCCTCTGGGCGTAGGTGGTTTAACGAACCTCTCGCTGCCAAAACCCCTCCTTCCCCTGCTCGGGGGAGGGGTCTATAACTGTGCCCTATTTATATACACCCCCTCCCCCAGGCGACCGGCAGCCAACCAAGGAACAATGCCGCCCCTTTGCTCACACACCCCAACCATCCCTGCCAACAAAAAACAACACAAAACATACTCTGGCTCCAAAGTCGGAGCATGCGCAACCAACCCGGTGTGGCCCCCCACCACCCCTGTCAAAATCAATGCAAAGTGCACTGTGGGGCACAGTCTGGAGTCATGTTCGACCGGCCCGCGAGCACTTCGTATGATTTTTCGACAGGGACGGCGGGGGTGTCAGCAAATTGCCTGTTGTGAGCAGGGCCACCGTCCTCATCCTCTCAGAAAACAATACAAAGTGCACCTCGCTGCTAAATTGGATCATGCGCGGCCACCCCGCGATCACTGTCAAGTGGTTTTTGACAGGGACGGCGGAGGTGGTGGCGTATGGCCTGCTGTGCGCAAGCCCACCAGACACAATGATGGGCGTTGGTATTCGGCGAGGATGGTGGGGGCCAACATGTTTCCCAATGTGTGCTGTCACGTGCGCAGGCGCACCGGACACACTCTGTACGTGCCCCGAACGTGGTGCACATGGCTCAGCTGGAGTATCCTGCTCACCTGGCGCACGTGGAGCACGTGGCGCATCTGGCGCACCAGGCGTGCATGGCACGCTCGGGCCCCAGGGGTGTCTGGCGCACGTTGCGCGTCTGGCACGCGTGGCGCACCTCGCCCCAGCGTCGCGCACATGGGGCCGGTGTTGGTTCCCAGTAGCTGTCCATCCAAAGAGGACCGCTGAGCATGCTGAGGTTCGGGTGTTACTTATGTGTTGGGAGGGCGGGCGGGAGTGAGTTAGACGGCTTGCTATCTTGGAGGTTGCCTTGACCCCTCCTCCTAATTACCCCCTCCCCTGGGCCTGGGCGGGAGGGGGGACGGAGGGGTTATAGCGTCCAAGATGGCCCAAGATGGCTCCAAGAGGGTCTCAGGAAGCCCACGATGGCCTCAAAAATGGCTCAAGATACATCAAAATTGCTCAAGACATCCTCCGACAAACATCCAAGAGGCGGCCTCAAGACGGCCCCAAGATGGTTTCAAATGCCCTCCGAGCCCTCCACGGACCCCCCCAAGAGGCCAACATGGCTCGAGCATCGAAGAACATTCAATGTTTTTGCCTTCTCGCTTCCGATGGGCTCTTGAGGCCTTACCATGGCCCCAAGACGACCCAAGTGAGTCCCAAGAGGGGCCCAAGAGGGCCCCAGAGCGCCCAAGAGCGCCCCAAGACGGCCCCACGACGTCAATATTGAGCCTCCGAGGGGGGGGCCTGAATTTATTACAGTGCCCAAAATTGCCTTAAGAGACCTCCCAGAACCCCCCGAAGAACTCCAAGAGGGCCCCAAGACCCTCCAAAAGAGCCCCAAGAAGGCCCCAAGAGTGCCTCAAGTGGGTCCGAGAGGACCCCAGGAGAGACCCGAGATAGCTCTAAGAGACCTCCGAGAAAACACTTCCAAGTCGGTTGTTACACTGCATGCTGCTACACTTCCCTGATCAAGGCAACTCGCGTGGCGATCTGTTTCTGGATGGGCTGGTGGGGATACGCGACGCATCAAGAATTTGCACTCTGGTTAGGGTGCTGCGCTGTCCCGGCAAGTCTATAAGCACAGAGGGCCACGGCTATGGTGCAGCACGCTGGACAACCGAGGGGGTGGGGGGGGAAATCGCCAGGCGGCCGGGCGGTCTGAACTGGCTGGGACCCCAGAGAATCGGTTAGGACGGGAGATGGGGCCAAATCAGCTCAAATGGGTTTCTGGATGAAGTTTTGCACCCAAGATCCGTTTTTTGGTCCCCAGACGGCTCCAACTTCTCAGACCCCCGGACCCCCAGACGGCTGCAACTCAGACCCCCAGACTCCCGGATGGCTCCAACTCCTCTCTCGCAGCCCCCTCCCCGTTCCCTCCCCCCACCTCTCCCTCGCATTTCTTCTCCAGAAGCCCCGCCAGAGAGCAGCGGCACCCCTCCCGCCGAGCCCCTCCTCGCACCCCCCCGGGACGTTTCTCCCTCCCCTCTCTTGGAGTAGAGGGTCGACTACAGCATTAATTTACCCCAAAAACTTAATCTTTTCGTCGAGTCTGCGAAACATAACGTAGAATGTTCGTAGACCTACGAACATTCGACGTACTTTTTCTAGATCCCACGAGACAGTCAATTTTGGAGTACGGCAGGTTCGTGTCGTGCCGACTTCGGCGTTGGTTCCTGACACCGCGGGGATCGTTCATACTTGAACGATCGGTCGTTTCCGAAACGTCCGAACCTTCAACATCGACCGATTCTAGGCCCCCCGCGGCGTTAAACGTTGAACACCCGCGCCGGGGTCGCCGCTGGTCGACACGACGCGAACCTACCGTACATCCATTGTGTACAGCAGGGGCCCGACCACAAGAAACCTTCCCTCCTCGCCGTTCCCGCCCTCCCCGCCCTCCCCGCCCGTCCCCCCCCTCGCTGGTCGTGCCTCCCCTCCCGCCCTCACCCGCGCGCGCCTCTTTCTCCCCTCCCTCCTCGCCCTCCTCCCCATCCTCCCTCTGGCGAGCGCTGACACTGGAGGCCTCCTGGATGGGGTCGGAGTAGATGGGGTCGGAAGATCGCGCCGCATCGGCAGTACATCGGCGATGCACCAGCGACGCGGCGCGATCGTCCGACCCCATCTAATCCGACGCCGCAAATGAGACCTGGAAACATAGACTACAGTGGAGACCCATGCCAAAAAACACCCTGCTTGCCTCCAGGGTGCCCCGGGTTTCTTGGGCTTCGATGGCTTTGCGATGGAGAGCGCGACGCTCCCACACTAGACATCAACGGAAGACCTGGGGCCTTCAGGGTCGGGCTTCTTGCAGAAGACTTTCTTGTCCTCGGGCCCCTGTTGTAGGGATCCGTGGATGTGGCGCGTGGGCGCCAAATCCACACATCGGGGAAGATACCGGTCCCCTCGCGAAGCCATGCGTCGCGAATCCGTGCGTGCGGTTCCTCGCCTCCTGCCCCCCTCCTCCTCGAGCTTCTCCCCGCCCTCCCCGCCCCCCTTCGGAGAGGGCCACCCAGGGGGCCTCCCCGGCTGGGCCCGGGCTCGCTCCTCGTGCTACCAGGAGGAGCGCGGAGCAGAGCACGCACGGGCTTGCCTGGCCACGGCGAGCCTCGGCCACGAGCAGGTGCCACGACCTAGATTTATGTCGAGCCTGTCCCCCTACAGGGGGATTTTCGACGAAGAATAAGACATATTCCAAAAATGCCCCAAGAGGTTTGAAAAAAATACTCCAGAAATAATCCCCAGATTATTTTTGGAGCATTTTTTGCTGTTTTTGGGGGTATTCTTTTAATTTTTCGTTGGAAATCCCCCTGTAGGGGGACAGGCCCGACTTACACCTAGATCTCAGGAGCGGCCCGAAGACCAAATGTGAAGGGGCCCTGGGACACACAAATAAATACACACAAATAAAATGATTCCCCATATTTTCCCATATTTTCTGGATTTTTGTCTTCCCGCCCAATTCCCATATTTTCGCATATTTTCTGGGGAGTCGACGAATAATTGTGTCTGTGTGTTTTTTCCCCTCCTGAAAATGCCCCTCCCGAAGCCGGTGCGGCCCCCGCTTCGGAGCCTCGGCTGTGCCAGCGCGGGGTCGGGGGACCGCGCCGAGTCTCCAGTGCTGCATCGCCGCTGCGCCGGCGACGTCGGCGCCGCACCGGCGCGGTCGGCGCGGACAAAAAAGCGGGGAGGAGGAGGAGGAGGAGGAGGAGGAGGAGGAGGAGGAGGAGGAGGCGGGCGCCACGCCGAGCCACGTCGACGCCGCATCGGCGGTGCGGCGCCACCCTCCGGCCCCGCCTGCGCTCGAGCCCCACGCGCGAGGCCCGAGGGCCACCGAGCCCCCGCCGCTCTCGGGACCCCGTCGGCGCCGAGGAGCCCTTGGGATGGCCCAGCGGCAGCACACGGGGGCGGCCCCGGGCAGGACGGGCCTCTGGTGCGCGGCTCCGGGGGGGGCGCGCTTCTTCTTCTGTTTCTTCCTCTTCCTCCGTCTCCGTCTCCGTCTCCTCCTCCTCCTCCTCCTCCTCCTCCTCCTCCCACTCCCCATCCTGCTCTTCCCCTCTCGTCCCCTTCCTCCCCCATCCTCCTCCCCCTCCTCCTCCTCCAACTCCCGAGCGCGCAAGCCGCTGCTGTCGCGCCCCTTCCCCCTTCCAGCCATCTGGGGGCACCCGCGGTGCGCCCGCGCCGCGCTCTCTTCTGCGGTCGGCCATGATTGGGCAGGGACACGCGACAGGACACGAGACCTTTCCGAGGGCCACACTGCCGTGGGGGCTGTAGGCAGCATGGGTCGCGAGGCACAGGACAACACAAGGGTACCTAAGGGTACCCTTGATTTGACAGGGTCGACCTACGAATCTCGGGCCGGGCGAAAGGGGGGGATAGCAAAGGGGGGGTTTGAGAATCAGCTCACGTGGCTGATCTTACCGGCGCCTCCTGGCGCCGGGGCGCCCATGTATCGAAGAATGGGCCCGGCGGCGGGGCCGAAACCAGCTGCATGCAGCAGATTCCGTAACCCCCCCTTTCCCAAACCCCCCCTTTCGCCCGACCCGATTGACTACCTACCAAAACACCCCAACCCAACCCGAAGACCCGAATTTCGGGTTTGGGGGGTACGGGTTTCATGTGTGTTTTCTCAACGTTCCCCGACCCCCCCCGACTGGAAACGGAGGACAAACTGGGGCCTTCGGGTTGGGTTGGGGGGGTTTGGTGGGCGGTGACCTAATCGGGGCCGACCGTACGCGAAGCCGAATCCCTGGCAGGACGACCCCCCCCCCCCGGCGGATGAGGACGTCGACGCCCGCCGCGCCCGAGGCGCGCTCACTGCACCCCCCATGGGCCGGCGAGGGCAGCCACGACCGGCCGAGGGCCGAGCGGTCGGAGGGTTCTCTCACGGCCCACCTCCGGCAGCCGCGGGGTACACCCTGCGAAATGCTTAAGAAATCATGGGTTAAGAAATTCATAGTCCCAGAACTTGAATAAAAACACAACATTTCTATTCAAATCTTAGGGTTTTCATCGAAGCATTAAGAATCATCGAGACTCTGGCCGAAAACTTAAGTTTTCTTAAGCATCGCCTAAGGTGTACACGAGCTCCTTCCCTCGGGAACGCCCAAAGCCTGAGGCCGGGCCGGCGCTCGGGTCTTACCCCCGGCGCCAGCAGCTCCGGCCACCAGGTCATGGCCAGCCCCTCGTCTCACGGGCGGCCCCCCGTGCCACCAGGGGGAGAGGAAGAGGGCCTGGGCAGTGACTCGAATCACTGTGATGTGAATCTGTGTGTGTGAGTACGGATGGGGCAATACGGGGGGAGCTGGAGGAAGCCAACAGCACGGGGCCGATGCCAAATAGTGGTATGACTTGGGCTCCCCAAGTGGCCGCAAGGTCACCACCAGCACCGAAATCAAGGGTCAGGCTTCCCCCACGGAGGTGCCCCCCCCCCCCCCCAAGTCGGTCTTGAGTCCTGGTGCCCGTGCCCCAGCCTCCAGCAGCAACGGTGGCCCCGTCGGCGGGGGGGCGTGGGCCCCGGGGGGGGGACTTCGGGCCGCAGGAGACAGGTGGAGGGAGCCCTGGGCTGGCTCGGGCTTCGGCAGGCCTGGGCTTCCGCGGGCCGGGGGCCCGGGGGCCCGAGGCGAGAGGGCGGGGGGGCAGGCACTCGTGCGGACATCCAGGCGGGGCCGCCTTCGCCTCCCGGCTTCATAGAACAATGCCTGATGATGTGGAACGCTGGTCCCTCAGGCAGGGCCAGCCAAAAGTCGCGAATGCTCGCCTCGCTTCCCTCCCGCTCCCCTCCCTCCTCCTCCCCGTTCCATCACAACTGAGCCCAGCGCGGCCCCCAAGTAGGTGTAGGTGATTTTATGCAAAACAAAACCTTGCAATACCTAGAAGACCAGCCAAAGGCCGATAAGGAGGTCGGGGTGGGTGGAACCAACGATGGGACTATCATCGAAGGGTCCGAGTTGGCACGGAGGGGTCGTGTGGAGCCGAGTCGACTCGAGTGCCTGCTACAAGGATTGGCGTGGCCAAGCAGCGCTATCAGCGCCGCTCCGGCGGCCAAGGCCGCCGCTGGGAAGAGGCCGCGTCTCCAACTGGGGATGGCGATCAACCGGTCCGTGGCCCGTGTCTTTGGAGGGGCTCATTGGCGGGGCCTGTCTCCACGAAGCTCCTGGCAGCATTCGTTCGCCACCATGTGCCTCAACTGCCGTTCTGCAGCCCGGCGGTCGCGCCCTCCTCGGAGTCGGGTGCGCATGAAGACCCGAACGTAGGCCAGACTGCGCTGATCGCGGTGAAGCGTTTCACTGGTGGCCGCCTGAGGATGTACTTCGCTGCCGATCAAATCAAAGGGCATTCCGTCAACGGTAAGTTCAATTTGTTCAACGCCAGGCGTCCGCACGGAACGTGTGCTTTTTGAGGGGCCTCGATTTACACTGACCGCGTACGTGCACGTGCTCGCGTGAGAACTCAGTGCACAAGTTGCAAGGCAGCTTCGCGAACTCGGGCTCTGGTGGCCCGCCGATGGCCCAACCCAGTCTCTGCCAGACGACCTGTCGGGAACGAAGCCGGAACGCCTGCGCAAGGCGCGCACGGCATGGAGGTGCTACTGCCGCCGTGGCAGAGGGGAGAAGTGCGTGTCCCAGCCCGGCCGCGCACGCGGTGAGCATCGGTCTTCGGTGTGGGACTGCCTCTAGTGCGGGCATATTGGTGTCCAGCGTGATGGCAGGCCGCGCAAGATATGTAAGCGCAAACAGTGCGCGCTCTAACAACAACGAGCGCGCAGGAACAACGGAACCGCTTACTTAGGCCCACGTTATCCCAAACTCTGCGGCCCAAACTATGCCCACATCTGTCGGTTTATGAGCCGTGTTGGCAGCGAATGGGTCACCGAGTCAGACGGGCTCGGGCTACTGGCGCGCAGTTCACTTGGAGGCGATGGCGCGAGTGCAGAGAGAAACCATCGCATCGCCATCAACACTCACCAGCCACAGCCAGCAAGCATCCATCACAGCGCAGAGGCGGTGTCAAGATCGTATTCAGCGCCGCTCAGTGTGAGATCGTTACTGGGATCGATCGCAGGATGCATCGATACTAAGACTGATCGTGAGATCGATCGATTGAGATCGATTGCGGGGTCGATAGTGACATCACATCGCGGCGCAACATTGTCATCACGCGTCGTTGTCAACTCGAAGGCGCGCCACCAGAATCGTCATCATCACACCCATCGCAGTTGCCGGCAGTTGGTTCTTTCCGTTCCCCCAACGTCCTTATCACACGAAGGATGGTCGTACAGGTATGTAGGTGTGTATATCATATATATGTATATGTATATACATATATCGGAAATTTTGGGGGCTCGAAGTGGAATGGAAAGACCCCCACCAAGAAATCGGTTTCGGTGTCGGGCTCGTGTCATGCGTGCGGGCGAGGCGAAGCTGCGTGGGCGGGCAAGAGGAATGACTCCGCTGTGGCTGGGGCGGGCCAACAGCCGTTGAACGCTCCTCCTCCCTACCCGGTGGGCGGGCGGTGGCAGGGGTTGTCCCGCCGTAGTGTCCCGTCGCTGTCCGCCTCTCCCCCACGGTGGGCGGGCCGTGGCCGGGTTGCCCCGCCGTGGTGTCCCGTTGGTGTTCCGTCGGTTTCCAGTCGGTGTCCCGTCGCTGTTTCGTCGCTGTCCTGTCCATGTCCCGCTGGTGACCCGTTGGTGTCCCGTCGGTGTCCCGTCGTTTTCCCGTTGGTGTCCCGTCGGTGTCCCGTCGGTGTCTGTTGGTGTCCCATCGCTGTTCCGCCGGTGTCCCGTGGTGAGATCGATCGAGCGGGATCGATAGTGAGATCACTTCGCGGCGTAGTATCGTCACCACGCGTCGTCGCCAACTCGAGGGCGCATCACCAGCAGCGTCATCATCGCAGCCGTCGCAGTTGTCGTCAGTTTCTTCTTCCCCCCACCCACCAACCTCCTTATTAGCCAAAGGGTGGTCGTATAGGTGTACATATATGAAGTATATAAATCTTTCGATACACATATGTATGCATATCTATATATATAGTGTACCACACAGCTACGCATTGCACATATGGGTATAGGTATTGCTAGATATTGCACATATACATAATATACATATGTTGCACCATATGTGTTACACCACATAGCTTACACCACATCGCATAACTTACACCAATCTAGTGCCGAACAAATATTACACCGCATATCATACACAATACATACCTATATGACCACCCTTCGGGTGATAAGGAGGTTTGAGGGGGAAAACCAACCGAGGACAACTGCGATGATTGTGATGGTGGCGATGCTGGTGATCACGAATTTGCGACGATGCAAGACGGGCGGCCAATCGAAGTCAGTTTCCCGATCTTTTGACCGATGTCATTCTCGGTTTCGCTCCATCGATCTCAGAATCGACCCCGTGCTGAGTGGTGGTGAACAGTTTGGCGTCTCCTTTTCTCTTCGACCATACCCCCCAAAGTCTGACTATCGATCTCACTAGCGATCCTGGAAACCACCTCGATACGATCAGGGCACCGTCGGGGCACCGCCATACCATCGGGACACCATCGGGGCAACGTCTGAGACACGTCGGGACACCATCAGGACACCACTGGGGCACCATCGGGACACCAATCGAAACGCCAACCGGTACAACACCAGGGCACACCCAAGACACCATCGGAACACCAATCGGCGCACCTATCGGGACACGACCAGGACGCCATCGAGACACCATCGAAACCCACCAGGGCACCATCAGGACACCCATCGAGACACCAATCGGGACACCCACGGGGCACCAGTCGGGACACCAATCGCGACACCGACGGGACACCGACCGCAGGACACCGACGGCGAGATACCGACGGCGGGACACCGACGGCGGGACACCGACGGCGGGACACCGACGGCGGGACACCGACAGCGGGACACCGACGGGACACCGGGGCACCGACGAGACTCGGACGGGACGCCGACAGGACACCGACGGGACACCGACGGGACACAAATGGGACACAGACGGGACACCGACAAAACATCGACAGGACACCGACGGGACAGCCACGGAACACCGACGGAACACCGACGGGACGGGACACCAACGGGACACCACGGCGGGGCAACCTGGCCACCGCCCGCCCTCCGAGGGGGAGAGGCGGACAGCGACGGGACACCACGGCGGGACAACCCCGGCCACCGCCCGCCCGCCGGGTACGGAGGAGGAGCGTTCAACGGCTGTTGACCCGCCCTAGCCACAGCAAAGTCATTCCCCTCGCCCGCCCACGCAACTTCACCTCGCCCGCACGCGCGACACTAACCCGAAACCGGATCCGATTTCCTGGTGGGGGGCTTTCAGTTCTACTTCGATTTCGCCCCCAAACCTCTGATTACACCACATAGATTGCACCACATAGCTTTCACCACATACATTGCACGATGTAGATTGTTCGACATAGCTCAAACCCCATATATCGGACCACACAGATTGCACCACAAAGCTTGCACCAAATACGAGGCCCAACGTAGATTCTCGTGTCTAGCAAAAGGGAATTGGGATCTACCGCCCCGCGAAGATCGACCCCTCTTGAAATGTGTAGTTTGCATATGATGCTGCCCCATCGCTTGCTCTAAAAATGCGTCCATACCATCCCAGCCAAGCAGGTTCGATCCCCCACCCCCACAATCCGCTGCAAAAATAGCCGTACCAAGAACCCAACCATGTGCAATTGTGAATACTGCAATGTGGGTATCCGTGAAGCTCCTCTGGGGCTAAGAAACGCTGTACTGGGCGGGGGAGCCACATGCGAACTGCTACACTGGAACCTTCAGTGGAGCTCCCTCTGGGGCCACAAGGCCCTGCACTGGCCGGGGAATCGCATGCGAACTGCGCCACTGGGACCTTCGGAGCTCCCTCTGGGGCAACAAGGCGCTGCACTAGGCGGGGGAACCGCATGCGATCTTCTTCGCCACTGGGACCTTCGGTGTAGCTCGCTCTGGTGCCACGAAACGCTGTACTGGGTAGGGGAGCCGCATGCGAACTGCGCCATTGGAACCTTCGGTGGAGCTCCCTCTGGGGCCACGAAACGTTGTACTGGGCGGGGAACCGCATGCGAATTGCGCCACTGTGACTTTCGGTGGAGCTCTCTCTGGGGCCACGAAACGCTGTTTTGGGCGGGGGAGCCACATGCGAACTGCGCCACTTGAACCGTCGGTGGAGCTCCATCTTAGCCACGAAGCGCTGTACTGGGCAGGAAAACGGCATGCGATCTTCGCCACTGGGACCTTCGGTGGAGCTCCCCATGGGGCCACGAAGCGTTGTACTGGGTGGGGGAAAACCGCATGCGAACTGCGTCAGCGGGAGCTTCGGTGGAGCTCCCTCTGGGGCCACCAAGCGGTGCACTGGGCGGGGGAACCGCATGCGAACTGCGCCATTGGGACCTTCGGTGGAGCTCCTTCTGGGACCACGAACTGCTGTATTGGGCGGAGGAGCCGCATGCGAACTGCGCCTCTGGGACCTTCGGTGGAGTTCCCTATGGGGCCACGAAGCTGTAGTGTGTGTGTGCCGGAACAGAGACATGCGGAGGGCAGAGGCAAGGAGGGGGGGGGAGTGATGAGGGCGGAGCGGGAGGAGGAGTGAGAACGCGGGGCGCTGTCTCTTCAAAACGAAGACCCAACACCACAAGATGGTTGGGAACAACACTATGCGAGCACACCCGTGTATCAGAAGCCGCAAATATCCCAACATTCCTTGCAAAGGAACTGACGGAGTGCACTCGCGCA